CTCCCTTCCCTACACAGTTGTCCGGCTTTCCCTGTTCTCTTCTCTCTCTCCTGACCGGCTGCTTCTCGGTGTCGGGGTCACGAGACCTCGCCTTATCGTCTCCAGGCAGTCTGCACTCGATCGGGTTTCCTCGCCGCTCAACCTCCACACTTCACACCTTGTTCTTTAATTTTCTTTAAAGCCGTGGAGCTGATACACGATGTCTCGGCTCCAGGGTCTGCACAATATTCCACATCGACAACGCCACCGACACGTAGAAATCGGGTTTGTCCCGCTCGACCAGGTAAACACTCGCTAATCCTTCTTAGGTTTACGTTGCCTCCCTTTTTTCGGCTTTCTGGTAGCGGCAGCGTCGTCTTCGGCCTTTTCGGGGCATTCGACTTGCCGGTGCTGGCCGCCACAAGTCCAGCAACCTCCTTTCGGCCCGGGGTGGTTCTTCTCCGATTTGGTCCGAAATATCCGCGGTGCAACCTGAGTTCCAGGTTCGCGAACGACTCGCTTATCGAGTCTAGCTATTTTCGATGGTCGTGTGGTTGCTGATTGCTTCAATTCCACCGCCTGAGAACGCCCTTTGTTTCTTGACAAAGCTTTGACTTTACGGTTTATCTCCAAGGCCTTCTCACTCCCAATCTTGAACAGCTCCGACACGTTGGACTTAGCACCCGGAAATCTGAAGTCAATCTCGTTCTTCACTCGATTCTTCAATTCTCCAGGCAGGCTATTCAATAGTACCTTGCACTTCTTCTTAGTACCTTCCTCTGTCGAGAACAAAGTAGCTAATCCATTGATTTCACAATCGTGTTGCACAGGTGGAAGTAGTCTATAACCCGTGCATCGATATTCGACTTGGTTGTTGACATCACTAACTGGTCTTGGAACAACTCGTCAATGTTTGGTAGAGCTTTGTTTCTGAAGTTTCGTTCTGTATCCATGACCCAGTTCCAGATAAACGCATCGGTAAGTTCATCTTTTGTCTTCTCCCATTTTGTCTCACACAACGTCTCGAGGAAGCTGTCGTCGAACGAATTCTTCACAGAACGCATGACGGACTTCAAGTCTTCTCCTGACGAATCACAGCGCGCCCTCATGATCTCTTCGTACTCCAGACGTAGATCCACCCATTGGGTAAGCGCTTCATGCGAGATATCTTCCACCTTCGGCGCCACAGTGACCGCAAAGATCGGATGGGCCACCGTGGGGTAGTCCGGTTCCAGGTTCGCAGTCCTCGACATCGATCCAGTGCTTGACCTGTTGGGAGCTGGTGGAGCTCCAGATCGTCGTGTCATGCTTTCGCCTACATTGCGCGTGGGTTTATTGCCCTTGCTCTGCGTTGGCTTGGCTTGACCCGCTTGTTCCGCTGAGGTACCGACCGTTGTCCTTGGCCGTAGTGCTCGACTCGTGCTGGTGGTCTGCAGGGTCGGTCCGGCAGCACCCACAATCTGCTGCGTCGCTGCTGCAGCAGCGTCAGCGGTTGCACTCATCGTAGTTGCTTCGTTGTTCATGTCGTTTCCTTTGGAAACTAAAGTTAACTTTGTAGTGGGATCCGATTGAACACACTTGCGAGGGAAGCTGGCGCTTTCTTTGAACTCTTGCTTGTATTGTACTCTGCAAAATCCAGAATGAGATAGTTGAGACTCTCTCCAGCTACTCCTACATCATTGTCTAAGTATATGCCTCGAGTCTCCGACCTCTGAGTCTTATTCTACGCCAGCTCCTGCTGGAACCTCTCGGCCGCCAGCACAGTGCGTGGTCAGGTCCTGAAGACCGTCGCCCCACTACAAACACTATCATTTGCTTCCAGTGTTTCCGTTTGGCCGAGTGCACCTTCAACTCTCCAGTGACATCGTGATCAATAGATGAGAACATGGACAAATATACGCACAAGATCACTTAAGAACCGCTGCCGAGCACCCATTC